ATAACCAGGAATATTCATTTCGCGGGCAACAACGTCCATTCAGCCGGATACCTTTTGAGCCGGCGATTCTCGATTACCCGCCATCACGAAAGTTTATTTAACAATATACACACGGGAACACGTAGGTACGCGCGCGCAGACTGTGTGCATGATTTCCGACCGCGTTCTCGTGCCAACATCAGTTGTAGCGAGGTTGTTCGAGAGCCGGCGGCGTAATTATTATTATCATCGATTGAGGTGAAATAGCTGTGCGATACGGTTAATTTCGCAGCAATAAAAACATGTTCAGGATAATACACGACACATGAGAAAACGAAAAAAACTATGAAAAATTCGAATTACTCCTTTAAAAGATTCGAATGAATTCCTTAATCAATTTCTCCGTCTTGGATTTCGATATATTTTATTTTCACAAAAACATATGTATTTTTTCTTTCTTTTAACTCTTCTTAAACAAACGGACATAAATCTCGTGCGATCGCTTAAGTGTTTAATTAAATTTGTGCCGAACGGCGGGTAAACATCGTCGACGCAAAAATTCTTTTTCCCGCCAGACGTGGCGGGAAAAGCAACAAATCGCGCGGGAAACTCGTCGACACTAATTTCCCCGAGATTCACCGCACTGGGATTCCCGATAACCCGAAGGTCGATCTCACTTCCCAGAGTCTCCCTCCCGGCCCTTCTTTCTCTCGTAACAAAAAGTCTGCTCGATGGTGTCGCCGTCGATGGCGCGACGCCGATGTCGCCTCAATCATCGTGTTCGTTCCGCGCAAAGGAAAGGGATCGAAGGAAGGGTGACCAGAGTAAACCAGAGTAAGTCTGAAGAATTCTGTATCCGGATCACATCCCGCGATCAAAAGACGAATGGCGGCCGGGAGCGAATCCATCGTAACGAATAAATTCATGGCGAGACCACTGCGGCAAATAAATTTATCGTCGTCGAAACTGTTAAATACAAATAACGTCATTTTAATCTTTCTTACGACTTCCGTCGCGACAAAAGAAAAGTATCCGAAAGTTGAATGACAAAGATAAAGAACTCAACTCGAATTTAAGCATAAGATAAATGGCGGGGCACGATTTCTCGGCATTATCTCTTCCCTTTCCGGCCACTGTCACGATTACTCGCGGGTCGACCCTGCTTTTTATCTTACCCCTTTGCTCTCGAAACCTCATTCCTCTCGCGGGTCAGGAAACAAGCGGGCGAAGTCAGAAGGACGGGCGTCGCCTAATTTCGAGAACGCGAGACGCGACTAACGATCAGACGTCTATTTACGTGCGACTGCATCCACGTGCGTTGCATCTGCACGTGTGATTCTCGTGTACTCGCGTATTCTACCGGCGAATTATCCGGGCGTGATGGTACCGCATGGAAATGTAACGGGGATATGCGCAACGTATCGTGAAATGTCGTCTAAATACCGTAAATATAGTCAACGCGGGGGAAAAAACTGGAGCACGTCATTAAATATGCATTTTACTTCGCAGTGAACGAGATCGAAATGCGCGCGGGTTGACTAATGCACGTTCGTATATTTATATTATAATATAACGTAGAAGCCGCATTAATTATCGCTATTTAGTGACTGGTCAAATCTGCAAATCGACTACAAATTTGCTAATTACGCGAACCGCAATTTGCCACGATATCTCTCTCCCATTGAAGAAATCGCCAATCGTTTCGCCCGCCGCCGATCGCAAATCACGCCGCCGTAAATCTCCATAAATATGCATACATAATATCTGCTCGGCGCGCGCGAATCAAACGCCGCGATGTTGTTGTAATTCGATTCAGCCACCGTGCGAGTATTGCGCGCTATCGGATTTCCATTTTAAAGTACCGAGAGCCGAGTGTTTCGACCGTGTAACGGTATCGCAATTCGTATCCAGAGTTGCAACGATAATCGTCGAAGGGAAGTCGCGATTCGCAACGTATAAATGTAACAAAGCTATATCGTTGCCTCTTTTTTACTTTAAACTCGACAATGCTAATACGTACAATACAACGCAGAACATCGGTATTACATTCTTCATATTGGAAAAAATATATATAATAGACTTTACAATGATTTGATTTAATTTTTTTATAATTACTCTGGATTTAATCTTTTTATAATATATACATATAAAAGAAAAATTATCTTATAATAAAATCAATCGTGTAGTTTTATATTACACTTATATTATATTAATAGATTTTGTATATTTTGAATATAAATTATATAACTTTTATAAGTATAAATATAGAATATCTATAAGCGTAAAAATATTTTGTTGAAACTTTTTAGAGTATTTTTTAACTGTATACGAGAGACGCTATGCACACAATTTTAGACAAAGTTATATACAAATGTATAAATTTACAGCTTCCTAGCATCGAAACGCAATTCCAATTATTTCTTTATACGCGTTCGCGTCCGCGAAAAATCGGGACGAAGAACCGAAATGGAATGAACAGACGGCGAAAAAAGTGGCATCTCCCTTTTACATTTCGATTGCACGAGAGAGACCCATGGACAAACTCAATCCGAAGCGAACGTTCCATTACGGGAATGGCTGTGACAGGCGGCGGACACGACAAAGCCACGGCGTGTACACACGTATCATCTCATAACGTCGGTATCCATGCGTTTAGAGCCTATAATCCCGGGCGCTATACAGTGCATAAGACGGAACACCACCTAATCTCACGTCGGAACATCGCACAGTGCACAACGACGAGAGAACGCTAAATCGAGATCTAAATTGGAGATCAGGCCCATCCGTCGTGGGATAGGTTCGTCGTCGGTCAGTCCTTAGCACGGGCGCGGGCGCAAGAACACGGGATGAACCGTAGCGGGATTAAGCGAATAAACGGGGAAATAATGCATCGGCACGCGGCAAACGGCGAGATTTCGTCGACGTTGATCGAGTTTCGCTCCGTGTGATAAATTAACGTAATTTTAAAAGATTATGCAAATTGCGGAGATTAAGCACACCATAAAATAATTCATGGCGAGATTCTTCTTTTAGGAAATAGTCGCGACATTCTTTTCTCCCGGCGTAGAAACTTTTATCCGTCCAATCTGTATTGATGAACATTGGAAATTTCAGATTGTTCCGGGGACTCTAAATTCGGCGGAAATACTCGTAATCAAAGTCCAAACTTTGCGCGTAAAACTTTTTATAAGCATGCAGACGTCGCGCGGCGCAACTTGGAATTTCACAGGCTGATACGGGCCGCGTTACAACGGCGGGATTTACGGGAGCGGACGCAAGCACGAGCGCATAAGAAACAGATTAACGTTCTCGTGGATTAAGAGTCGTTACCAAAGCCGGTGCCTGAAAGCGAGCTTATGGGAGCGCGTTAACGTCACGGGTTTCTTCGTAAACGGTGAGCGGAAGTGTGCGAGAAACACGCGCACGCGCGCATACAGGGGTAAAACCGTTTCTACAGACATGAAAATGTAAACAGAAGTAAAAACACTGAGCGAGAGAGGGGGGGGGGGGAAGAGAACAAGCGGAGTGGATGGAAATGGAAATTCTAATTACAGAAACGGCCGTGTCAGCTGGACAACGTAACGAAGCCGACCTATCTCGGCAATGAAAGGTCAGCATACGTGGCGAGGCTTATCCCAGTACCTACGCGAGGATCAGGAAGTGAAGGACGTTTTAACTCTTAGCCGATCGGAGACCTTTGAAATTTAAAACGTGACTTTGCTTCATGCATTTCTTTATTTTGAAAAAGTGCATTTCTTTACCTAAAAATATTCAATTTTTAGAGATAAAATATTTTAGAAAGCGAGTATCTCGAAATCTAAAATGAAATCTATCCGGAAATCTCAAGATATAACGATTTAAGGATTTAAATGTCCAATGATTTGACAGAATGCATAATAAAAGAATTAAAATAAAAAAAATATAATTTTCGCATTTGCCGTCATATTTGTGAATAACAAATATTACTTTCGTCATATTTTAATGACAGCAGGTTTGGAATTAATGGATAAGCGAAATGTGATTTACTCTACAGTAATACCCCGCTACGTAGCTCTCGATGGGAATTCAGCCGAGTTGATGGCATGGTGATACTCGTGAAATCGATCGCGCTGTAACGCGCCCTTAAATATCTAATTACAGGAATAGGTGCTTTGGTTAGTAGATAAAGCCGGCAGTATGCGGCCGACTAGATGACAGGATATAGCCGCGAATACATATATTAAGCCGGACGCATATATGGCAGTCTTGTACTACTAAAATTCTGGGCACATGATTGAATCGCATCGATACTTTCGCAGATTAATTTTTTGCGTTAATATTATGCTTAAAAAATATATCTGAACTCGTGATAAAACATAAAAAAAATCAAATGTTTCTAATAATTATATATGTATAAAACCAATTTTTTATTTTACTGAATACATAGTTAACATATGTTCTTTAGAAATCTTGCTTCTATATGATTAATTAATTGTAATTATATTATATTACAATTATGATTAATTAATATTATAGAATTAATTAATTTCTATATCAATTAATAATGAAATATGTTGTTTAATATTCAAATACATTGGTTAATACTGAAATGTCAAGACTTTTGCAGTTGCGATAAAACATAGAATAAAAATTTTTTTTTTTAAATAAAACCCTCGAAAAAAATTATTTTTACTAATTTTTTACATTATACATTTTTTAATTGTAAACTAATTAATACCAAATTAAATTGTGCTATTAAAATTCCATTTATATACAAATTTGAATGAATTCTCAGAGAATTATACGTATAATTACATGCATAATTTTGTTATAAAACTTTTATTTTTACACAGCTCGCAAGGGACTCGTCAAACCTTGCGCAAAACTGTCCCACATTTTTATGGCATTTTACTTTTATGCAAATTGTCATACACAAGGGCTTTATCGAACGCGAAATTTCCCTAAATAGGTTATGTAAATTTCAATTGAAAACCGCCACCATTTCTAAAAAAAAATAGAAAAATGTTTACATATCTACTTACATGGCCCGTTGCAAGCATTCCTGTGCATCCGCTGTACCCGTTGCATCTGATGAATGACGACAACGTCTCACGTTCACCCGTCCACAAGGTAGATCAGCCTCGTTGATCCGTAGAAGCTCCCGGAATAGTTGCACACTTGTTTTCGCGCTACATTCCTGTTTTTCTTTGCACTCGCGTAAACATTCGCGAAACATCTAATACTACGGACGTTAATTGGCACAACACGATATATTTTGGACGTATTTTCGACTAATTTCGACTAAAATGTTTTTATGTTCAAGCTCGAGCTATCAATGCGGAAACAGAATTAACATACCCTCACATTTACGTTTTATCGATGATATTTATTACGGCTTCTCGATGATATTTCGGCAAAAAACTATGCGAAAGCAGTTTCGTATCAGCATCTTCCAATATTTTTCGAAGCATACGTAGCAAATAACAAGTTATAAAGCACGGTGCGTACACAAGTTAACCTATATGGATGCAATACACTTTGAATATGTCATCTCAACTAACCTTGTTCTCCGTCAGAGGCGCTCGGATTCGCGCTTCCCTTCGCACAACAGCGAATCTAACCCATGATTTCAAAATCACGATATATCCGCGATATATACACGCGTCTTATTTCAACTTTTTCCCGATAGCATCTCGTAGTAGCAAGTGATTCGGAAACAATTTCATATCAGAATCTTTCAATATTTTTCGTTACATCTGCCTTACAAACCGTGGATTATGTACGAAAGATGCTATCTATATACTCGGTCGCATTGGCTAAATCATTTTACGGTTTTAAAATATTGCAATGTACTCACATATACTCGTTTTCATTCTTTCTGAGAGAATTTCGCACTTTTCGAGGAGATTTCGCACTTTTCTATGACAGAAAACAGCTCGGTAATACTCTTGTGCCAGAGTCTTTCAATATTCTTTCCCGCACTTTTGAAAATATCGGATTAGGAATATTACGCGTACAGACGTACCAACTAATGCAAGATGATAAGCTTTGGTTAATTTCCTTTTGAGGGCGCTTGTATTCGCGCTATTTTTTACACGAAAGCAAACTTAACCCATAATTTTCAAATATTGCAATTTATTATATACAAGCATATGTCTTATTTCGATTTACCGATAGCATCTTATGGCTTGGAAACAGTTTGATGTTCAGATTCTTTCAATACTTTTCCTTGCATATACGAGAAATCACGGATTATAGTGCACTATGCGTATGGCATTGTCTCGGCCGGATCATTCCGCGATTACAAAATACTTACTTTTGTGTCTCCTTTCGCCGCAGAGTTCTAAGACAGAAGACGTCTTGATAGCAAACTCAAATCATAATTTGCCGATTATTCGAAACACCTGAAAAATCGCGGATTATAAAACGCTACGTACACATTCGTTAACGCGAAATGGCGCACTCTGAATGCAGCTAGTTTTAATCTTCTTTAGCGCCACCGGAAAAGACTCAGGTATGTTCGTAAACTATTCTATGCTAATGTCTTTCTTTTTGAATACGCGCGAATCAAAACATAACACACACACGTACATTCGATTAATTAAGTGGAGTATGGATTAAATCCTAAGTAAATTTTGTTTCTCCGTCACACACACAGTGTTCGGTTTCATATCCTTGCACTATCTAGTTAACGGAATTCAAAGCATCGTGAGATACTACTCTGAGAGATATCATCGCTTTACAGTTATCTGATATCTCCATTTGCGTACGAGAAATTTTGACACTGTTAGACGAGCGACTGCTACTGCTGAATGCACTACACTGTCCTGTCGGCTTACCTTGTTTACAATTGTCTGCTGCTTTTTATTGCAACAACATTTCACGATGCAACATTATTACAAATACTCAGGTATGTGTTAGGTTAAGTTATTATCACTAACCAAAAATGCGCTGTATATATTCAGTAAAACAAAAATTTTTAATACAGTAAGAAAAAAGAAAGAGAGAAAGAGAAATTATATGTAAAAAATTAAATAATGCAATAATAAATAATAAGATACAATATATTACAGGTACAATATTAGAATTTTGATTCAGACATCGCTGATAATTTCAGTAAGTTCGGTATGCTTGATACGAAACAGAGAATATTTGGAATCCGTCAAACGCGGTATTTTCATACTTGGAACGCGCGGAATCGATCGATGATATTCAAAGGACAATTCCGTCCTCCGTGTAAAATTGTCATTGCATTTGAGTAATTCTGTAATTAAACGCGGAGCTTCTAAATTATTCGCGTTATGCAAGTTTAATTCGTAACAGTTTCAACATCAAATGACGAGCTCACTGCTGTTTTAGAGCGGTTTCTGCGGTATTTTCCTCAACTCCGTCGCTTATTATTCGCAAAAATGATATCTCTCACATCCGACACATCCTGCATGCGTAGCAAATACGATTTCCCTATCAATTCGGTCAACAAATACATCGTGGACGCGAGTCGCAATTCACCGACTGTAATTTCCTGTTTAACAAGGGCAGAGTGGGTTGGGGACCGATCAGGTGGCACTATCGATAGGTGCTTCAAAGGATGCGTGTGGAATTCCCAACCTGTTGAAGTCCTGAAATCCCGATTTCCTACGAGTGCCCGCCGAAACGACTATATTCGGATTTTCAATCCGACGGCGGGGAAGGAAGGGAGTGTAAGAGAGAGCAGGAGAATTCTTGTCAAGTGGCGGGGCACGCTGAGATTGAATTTTCGACTTTACCGAGCCGCCGCAAATTTTCCCTCTCGAGTCGCGCCGTCGCAAAATTTCCCTCTCGATTTGCGCGATTCCGATCGCCTGAGTGACCCTCGATACCTTCCGTCTCGCACCTTGCCGTCCGTCCGTCCGTCCGTCGTGGTGCATTTAAATCGACTGCTTAAGTCGACTATACACTAATCTCGTAATTCATTTACATATTTAACGCGCACGTCGTCGGCAAAGTTCCCCGCCCGGGCGGGGGAGGTGGAAGGGTGTGGCGAAGGAAGTGCAACGAAGGGAGTAATTAGTTATGCATGTATACTTGTCGGCACGTCTCTCGGTCAACCTTTAACTTCTTTAATTTAATAACGTGTAAAGAACTGGGAAGGATTAGCACAAAAATCATAGTGTCGAAAACAAGTACGGAGCAAACTTTAGTGTTTCTCACTTTACTTCATTCGTTTTAAATCGTCATTCGCGCAGATGCCTCAAATGTTTATCGGTTGGTCGATACAATTTCCGGTCA